ATTAGGTTTTTGGTATAACAACCATGAAATTAGTTGATTAAAAGTCCCAATCCCTATGTTACCTAAAAATTAAAAATTAAAAAAAGAAAAAGAAAAAGAAAAAGAAAGTACACACTCACCCCACATCAATAATAGTCACTGACATTGAAATTGAACGAAACTCACAATTTCGAAATCTACACACAAATTAATCACACAAAATAAGCATGTTTTACAGAGTTAAACAACAAATTTTCTTTCAGAATAATGCAGCTCATCGTTTAAGGAGATCATTCGGCATTGGTGTGTAAGACTTGGCTCCAAGTGCCGAGTGTCTGCTGCAAGAATATGCCGTGGCTAATCACTGCAATCTCCCTCTCTTTTCTTGTCCATAGCCTACACAATTATAGAAAAAGGAATTCCAATTCTCTAATCCAAGGAAACATAAACTAAGATAATATATGTTTTCAGGTATTTTATATGAACTCGGAATAAAGTGTCACCATTTAAAAATTTTAATTCCTCTGGCGGCAACTTCTTCATTGCTTTCTCTGTAATCAGCAGTCCACATATTGTCATCTTCACTTTCTATCTGAGAAAAAAAAAAGTTATTTTTTAAAAGAAAAATCCCACGTCTGAAGGTTATGGTTTGTACAACTTTTGTATTGTCATAGTTTGTGAATTGTATTTTTAAATGGAAAGAAGTGCCTTGTACTCTCTATAATAAATTTGGATTTTTTTCTGATAAAAAATTTTTGAAGAAATACTTGCCAATGAAAAATCCACAGCTTGGAACAGAGACTTGTAAGGAATTTGAGCTTACTTGTAAGCTAAGCAAACATGTACTTAAAATTGAATTTGAGCTTTTTTACTATATTCTAAAAATGTTTTAATAACCAATTATTTAATTATAAATTTTTTTATATTCTTTTAAAAATATCGTAATACTAAAAGTTTAAACAAAAGTATTATATTAAGTCTAGTAGTAAAAAAAACAACAATAAATTTCATTCAAACATTTTTATTAACAGTTCTAAAAACCTTAAATTATATAATTGATTTAAATTCTCTTTTCAATATTATTAAATTTATGTTATTATATATTTAAATTTAATAAATAAATATATAATATACTAATTTTAAATTGAGTACTT